ACCAGACCCTTCCCCACAAAATTAAACACTTTACTACTGTTTAATTCTGTGTGGTTGGGGAGGGTTAGGGTTAATGTACTGGTAACCGTTGATGTTCTTGGGTGTAGAAATGCAAAGCTGGTAACATGGCTTGCTCGTGGTCACAATGACCAGTAGCTGGATTTTGAATCCTTTGACCTCAGATCATGAGTCATGCAGGTTAACCTATAAAGTGAAGTAAACGCCTTTTGTACTGCATTATTGTTCCTTTTCACCCTTGATGCAGGACCTCGTGGCAATCGACAGCAAAGAAACTGCCCAGTTGGTCGTCAAAATGTTCGCCAGTTCCCTTGAGGAGGTGATAGATCGTCTGGCAGATCGGCCTCGTCTGCAGTACGACTTCCTGCAAGGCGTGTTTGAGTACCGAGACGCAACCAGCACTGCCTTAGCACCCAAGGTAAGGCATACCTTGCTGAGACCATTTGGAGGATTTTGAAGGATGAAGGAAGGTTGAGGCCAACCACTCTTACATTTACACAGGGCTAGGTGTCCCGTTGAAGCAAAAACAAATCGACACTTGTTTCTTGCACGGTTGAAGAGAGATTCCTGTCAAAATACGAAGGATATTAGGGTTACTTGGCCAGTGTAACTTAACTAGTTTATGCTGGTTTGAGCTCGCTGCCAACTTGTCCCAGGCACGGGATTATTTTCCCCCCAAATTGAAATTTTAAAAAAAGACAAGATACTGCAGAATAGGGTCTGTTAGTGAGTTGGACCTTGCGATAGAATGACTCATGCGAGTCATTTGTTTCACATTTGTGCCATAGTTCATTAACACTTTTACACTCCAAAGACAAAGTTGCCAAGTAATATTTGCCGCGGTGCCTGGCCGTGGCACACAAGGCCTGAGGGCTCTACACCTGCTCAACCTCCACAAACTAGTCTGAGCCTCTCTGTGTTCACAGTAGCCATGGCCATCGCTGAAGTGTGGGGGCAAGTTGAAACGTCAGCCAGTGCTGTTCACACAGATGGCCGCGGCTTGTACAAGTCCTCTGTGCTGTAACAGAAAGCTCTGGCAGGTCTTGGTGTCCTCAGATGTGAATTTGTTAGATACACTAGATTGGTGTCATTAGTGTTTGTTGCAGGCTGGTGGATGACAGGCTAGTAATGTCCATATTTAGTCTCTGTGAGACCCCATAGCACTGCATAGTTTTGGATTCACCAGGGAATGAACACGGTGCAGTACAATGCCATACCAAAGCTAGTGGGTTCCCTCATTCTCCTCATAGGAATCCCAGTATGACCCCTATCTGCATGAGAAGTACATTGACCTGATGTGTCAGTTCAACCCCAGCACCGTCCACCACTACATCAGGAACGTGGAGGGATATCGTCTAGAAGAGACACTACAGGTAGGAAGCAAAAACAAGAGTGTGGCACTCTCCAAACAGTCTAGGTATGGTCAGACATATCTGAACAATATCTAGATCGGACATCGTAGACGGACATGACATGTCAGTGCCGGACATGACATCACAGAAGTTCTATACTGAATTTGGCGCATCCACTGAAACACATTGATGCTCCAAGAGGACGGAATGTGTACAAAATGGACTTCACTTTGGGTGAATAGGACTTGTCTGATCCATGTATCGTTCAGTTGTCCGTGTCTGGCATTGGGGGTTTTGTTCTTCACATCCATTTCATGCTTCTTGTTAGCCACAACCTACAGGTCAGTGTACATTGTTCCCAAGTACAATTCTTAAGGAAGTGTGTGACGCAGGTGTTCATTTTTTAATTGTGCAGAGGGAATTCATCATTACTTTTATGTTATTTTGTGGATGAGCATTTCGAGTTAGCTTAAGGGGAGGAGAGTCCACATCCTCTTACTTTTTCCACGAGTGACGCTTTGGTATTTGATTGCAACACTTGGTCTCAAGCATCAGGTTGGTTTCTCTCACAGATCGTACGGCGGCACAAGATTGCGGACGCCACGGCTTACCTGCTGGAGATGGCTGGTGACGTCCAGGGTGCATTTGGCATCATGCTGGAGAGCTTGTCCAACAGCATACGTAACTTGTCGGACAGCATGGAAGCTGGCAAGGGCACCGATAAAGCGAAAGGTGAGTGGATGATAAACCTCTATAGGGACAACCACATTAGAAGGATTGCATAGTAGTTGTTTGGATATGTGAAATGTGCTCTATCGAAAAGAGGAATGATTCCCCAGGTGAGTTGTATGCATGTTTTATATTTACTCAGTCTCTGGTGTTACTGGTCATGTCTTTGTGTTCATTCTTGATTATGGACCAATCTTTGATATACATTCACAAAAGTATTAATTGCTGTTGACCATTGAATTAAAAATGAAACCTTATGAAAGTTTTGAGAATTTTTATTTATGCCCCACTCTACATGTAAGTGCTCAAGTGTTGGTTTTAATGACAAATGCATTGCAATGTATTCATGAGAAGAAATAAACTTATAATAGTTTTGCAACAAATGGTACAGATGAAAGATAAGTGAATACCGTGCTGAAAACTAAAGAACCATCTAAGCCGGCAAAGCCAAAGAGAATGGTATAAAACGAAGTACATCTATTACAGATATTGTGTTTGTTTTTCAAACTTTTCTGCGATGGATGGAGTCGGTCATTGTCTTGTATTATTATTGTGCCAACATTTGGTGGTCTTCTAGATCCCAGTGTTGCCATCTGCAGCATGCAGGCAGGATTGGTGGTGATCATTCAACTGTGTCAGAGAAGTTCGGCCAAACTGGACGAGCCGGATAGGGAGGTCGGTACCAGACCAGAAAGTCGCAAGGGTTGCTTTTATACTGTTTTGTAAAAACAGAAGAAAAGCTCTTGTCTGTGGAATGAATCTGCGGAATGAATCTGTGGCATGTGGGTGGGGGGCATTGAAAGTCCTGACACTTCAAGAGTGATAGTAGCAACTTCCTTTGAAATAGAGGGTTCTCTTAGGGATTAAAAGAAATGAAGAATTGCTTTGGATATTATCTTCAGTTTGTCTCCTCCTCTACTCAGAACTTGGGCACACTACTGAAATGAAAAAGGTGAATGAGATGTCATTTATCATCTTGGTCAAGACTGATTTGTACTTCATACCCAGGGGAAATGTGAAGGAGATTTAGTGCCTTGGAAGATTTGCATTGCTGTGCATTGTGGTTGAAATTAACTCCTTTTTATATTTCCAAATGCTTGCCATAATGTCCCAAATTTATTTTACACAAAAGGAGAATTTTTGGTGTCAAGATAGAACAAACTAGCTTGAAGAAAGCTTTGAGAATCACCCAAATTTATGGTCTAAGGATGAAGGTTTTAGCCTAAGTAGTCCTCAATCCTTCAATTTGTAATTGCTGATTTTCACACTTCCCCCGGATTAAGCTCAAGCAGCATTGCTTTTTTACGGCTCATCAGGCTGTGGGCCTCAGAAAAGCTGTATAGAAGGGACAAGTAAAGTGCCCACCAGAACATTCACTTTGACAGGCCTGTACTGAAGAGGTGTCTTGTGACTGAAGTGGGAAACAGTCACTAGGTCACACTGCATTCTGACTGAGTAGTTAGTTCATCTTCCGATCTCTCTCCATTCCTATCTGCAGGCTTTGTGGTTTCCACTGCTTGATCTCATGATGGCATCCCAGAGGAAATTGAAGCCTTCTCTCAGTGACGAACATTTTGAAGGTTTGTCATTCAGTTTTGATTCTTTTTTTTATGTCTGGAGAAGTTTTGGGAAGGCATGCAACTTTTCTTTGAATCAGTTATTCTTACATGTAAAGTACTGTGTTGCATTTGGTGTGCTCATGATTCTCATTGGTTCCTTGACAGCTTTTAAAGATCTTACCAGACACGTCCTGAACAGCATGATGGGATACATTGCTCTGCCTGCCGTCTTGCAGAAAATCATGCAGGTGACTCATGTTCATTGTCAGAACATTGTCTTGATTGGTCTAGGGGCCACTGATATCGTCATGGTAATGTAGGGCAACAGTGTGACTTTTGGCTAGGTCAGAGGTCAGCATTTACTATTGTTGGGAATGTGGATATTTTGAAATGTACTCATGCTTGTGATGAGAATGAATGAGATGTTGTTTTTCTCATCTCAGGATCCCACTTACAGCACTGGCAAGTTTGGCGAGATCAAGGAGTTGATTCTTGGAATGCTAGACACCTATAATTATGAAAAGGTATTTAAATGTCACCCATCGTGAGGAAAAACCTCATGCATATGCATGAGGACAGGTTGTGCATCTGAAATCTTATTGGTTGCTAGATGTTTGCTATGACAACCCTTCCTTCCTTCTTTAGCCTGTTCTCAAGCAAGAGTATGCATGGCGTGTGTTGCCTGTTGGTCTCTTACATTATTGAACTTTGCGTCAAAGGTCAAAGGTGTGTTAAGGCCCTATCATTTGATTGGCAGGCCGTTGAATATGTATCATTGAACATTCTTTGCAGTAAGCCTTTTGCAAGTTAAATTTGAATAAAATCTGGTACACTCAGTTCTTTAAATTGATGTGAACATAAATTCTCTATGCCAATGACACTCCTGCTATACCTCTTGATTCGGGGCAAGCTTTTGCTTAGTTTACATGTACATAAGAGACGCCTTGCAACAACACTGTTTTCAATGGATAAGAAGGGCACAAAGGAACGCATCCATTCCAGAGATGTTGGTCGCTATGCAAAAGCTTGCCCTGAATCATGTGGTACAGCAAGTGTCTTTAGTTTGGGGAATTCAAATTGTTATGTTTATATGTAATCAGATAACTTAGTAAATCAGATTTTATTCAAATTTAAATGACAAAAGGCTTATTGTGACTAATTGTTTGGCAACGTCAATCTGTGAAACTCTTACCCATTTTACTCACAAATAATCCCTATTTATATATTGTTCCCGATTTCTTAACAAGTTTTTATATTTTGCCATTCGTTAGACCTTGCTACGAACCACCAATAGTCTCCTGGCTCACGACTTGTACTGGTCTCTCCACAACCTAACCCAAGCTGTCAACCGGGGCTTGATACCACGCAAGGAGGTCTGCTTCATCTGCAACCGCAACTATGTGAAGGTCAGCGAGGATGACACCGTGGTGGTCTTCAGGTCAGTATCATGGCATATGACCTCTTTTGTCCTTTCGTAACATTTCAGAGAGTATTTTGATTCCTGAGTAGTGACACTGGACTCGAGCACAGGATCTAGGATTCTGGATTCATACCCATGGACTGCCTTGAGGGCAACTTTTCACAGCGTTTGTAACCTGGAATTGCTGTATGTCAAGAACTGGCATTTCTCAGGGTGTTTTTGTGACAAATTGAAGAAATCCTCAAATGAAAACCTCAGTTGGACCTGTGTCTGGCGGACCATGTGATCACTGCATCTTCTATGGTTATCGGGGTTTAATCGCTGTCTACTCATGAGCGTTTTTTTTGGTGTGTGCATGTTGCAAAGATTGCCAGAGATTCAGTCTGAGTACAGTCAAGGAACAGCATGCATGTGCGTGGCTAACCTTGGTGATGAAGTACCGAGTTGATTGGACTGGAGAGCGTTCTTAGTTCTTTTACCATTTTTACTCCAACTTAATATCCATGAGACTTTTGTACATTCCTTTTCTGAGACTGGTGTTTGGACATTATTGTAGGTATCATGTAGTAGATTTATACAAGTATTATAAAAGGGCACTTTACATCTTGGTGTTAAGCCTTCTCTACAGATAGAAGTTCCCAATAAGAGCTGCGGTTGAAGGTTAAGTGAAGTAGTTTCACAAACCGTTCAAAAGGAGTTTGTGTACCTGTTAGTGTTATTGAATCTTTCGCCGAATCAGGTACATGTGTTATTTGACTGTGGCTTTGCCATTGATATGACATAGTGAATAGCCTTAGCCACAGCCAGTGCCGCGTGTTCAGGCACTGTTTATGTTACACTGGCTGCATATTTTATACAACATCTCCAGTAGCAAAAAAATAATTAAAAAAATAATTAAAAAAGGAAAAATTACTCTGTGGACACCACCTGATCACAATTTAGCCAGTCAGTCAGTGGTGATTGTGTCCTTTTATCCTCTCGGTCCACTGACCACAGCTGCGGTCACACCTACCACACCTCCTGTCTGCACACCTCGGGCTGCTCCTCCATGATTGAGGGCCGGCAGCATTGGATGTGCTTCCAGTGCTACAGCACACGCCGCACGGGCAAGGCCCGGATGGTCAACCCAAGGAAGTCACAGCATTTTGCCAGTGTTGGTGGGGAAAAGGGATCCTCGGAGAGGGGAGCGGTCAAGAAGGGAGGCGGGATTGCCGGGGCAACCAGTGGGGCAGCCGAGAAGGTAGGTGATGTTATAAAGGGCCCGTGTTACAATGAATTTTATTTTCAATTTTTGTTTTGCTGTTGTTTAAGTTATTGTAGTGCAGTTTTGGATTTTTATGCTCGTGCCAATTTGCATATTCATGAGCAGAACTGTGATATCATTCAAGGGAAGAATCATTAATATGTGCCCCAAAATTGCTGGAATAGAGGTTTTGTGTGGTAGCCATCTTCCAGGGCAGTTCTTTTGTTCCAGAGGGAAACCTTTGTGCATACCCTGTGGAACAAAAGCGCTGGCCTGCAAGATGGCAGCCAAGCAAACCCTCTGTTGTTGATATTTTGCTGTTCTGAATTGCCTTTTCTTTGCTGATTTAATGTTGAGTACACGGTAATGAGGCAGCAATCAAGCCTTTCTGAGAAGTGCTTTCTGTGGGCATATGTTGGATTCAGACTTCAAACTCAAAACCTTATAAACTGAACAGTGCCTTCCTTGAATGACATCACAGCAACAGTGCCCTCTGTTGTCCAGGAAAGCAATTTAAAGTGTGAAAAAGTACATTTCTTAATACATGGAACCCCTGTCAATATTGCTTTAATAAATTGAAGAAGAGCATAAAGTTGAATAAAAAAGTGCAGCTATGAAAACCTCCATAGCCTGGACCTTTAAATGGCCGGGACTGTTCAAGTCCAGAGATCAGTCTAGTGGAAACTGTCAGAGAAGCTTTTAAGGAGCAAAATCAGGCACATGTTGACTGTGAATGAATGTGACGAGGCCAGATTTGGGTCTTGGTGTCGTGGCTTCGAAGAAACAATCATAACCTGGCAGAACTTTGTTTTGAAAGACGTCTTAATAATGTACACAGAACATGTTCAGTATGCAGCAGGTACCTAAAACAGCAGGAGGAAGCATTCATGTATTTCATCACACATTCATGTCACCATCTGCTATTGATAGAAAGTTTGGCAATCGTTGCATAACTTCACAGCAAGTGGGAAATTTCACCCCAGAGCATCATTATGATTAAGACCAGTCTAAAACAAACAACTAGTCTGAAGTTAATTGTTTTTTGGGTATGGATTGGACAGGTTGTGCAGCTAGATTTAGAGCAGATAGCCTCCCTAGATATGCTGAGGAAGAGACTGGAGGGACCGTCCAAGGTAGGATGCATTTCACCACAGGATGATTCTCTAAATTTGGAATCCAAAACTGTCCAGGACATTTTGGCATCCCCATCACACCTGACCCATGCAATTTAACATGGGCATTGAGGTTGACTTTACAACTATTTATATTTCGTGGGTAATATTCATGAACCAGTCACTCTTGGAAATTAGAGAATGTGTTCTAAACTATCACGTGATGGGGACAGGAAAAAATTTACACTCCAAATTTATAGAATGGTCCTAAAATGTAAAATACAGAAACTGCTGTGTGACTGGAGGGATCTTTAATATGTCTAAATATTGAAACAGTATGAGACTTGACATTTCCAAATGCTCTTTCAAAGGCAAAAATGCATCTGTGAAAGATACTGTTCAGACGGAAACGTTTAAACCTTTAACTTTAAAGATTTAGCTATAAGATCGTTTGTAAATCTTATTTTCCATAAGACAAGCAATGTCTTGAGTATGTTTGTAGCTGTAAAATGAGGTACTGTATGTTGCCTTTAACCACTTGCTGCCGGGGGACCTGTTTTCGAGCACATAGGCTTTATACACGAAGCCGGGGAACCCGAAACTGGGACAAAAGAGCTGGGCCCTGTAACAAAAGACCGTGCTCGGCACAAAAGACCAGGCTGCTGGGCATTACCGACATTTTTTCACTCTCAATAGTGGAGATAATCCAGCCTTGTTTTGAAACAGTGTACCACGGTTTTGGGTATTTAGTGCGAGCAGATTACAACCGGGGACAAAAACGCTCCAGCACCGCAGCGATGAGCCACACAGCATCGCTGCAAACAAATCTGGCCCCTATTGAAAAGAGGTCAGCAGCGCACTGTGCCAGATTTGTGAACAAAAGAAAGTTATATAACACCGCACAATTTAGGCTCTTTTTACAAGGCTGCAGGCCTGACTGAAACACTCGTTCGTCAATAGATTTTGTCTGTCAGGCTACAGTGGCCACCAGACAGTAATTCATGTGGGTGTAAACGTCTATTAATTGAAATGATGAATTTTTGAAGATTTTTGAAACTGAAAATCTTAAAATTTGCCCATATGTGTGCACTGCATTTTTCAAACCACCTGGCAGCAAGTGGTTATTTGAAAGTTAATCACAGAGCTTTCTGTTTGCGTCTTTCCTTTGTAATTGTTTCACCTGAGTGTGAAAGATTTTCATCTGGAGCCATATATCGACTTGGAATGTTTTGTTTGCTTTGTTCTTATATAGCTGGGAGTGCTTTGCGAAGTCATTCATTCTTATCGTGACCAACCAAGATCCAAGGGTGCTGTCAGTTCAGATAGCCTGCTTCTGTCAGAGGACTTTAAGCTACGGCTATGTCCGCCCCCATCAGATCAGTGACCAATCACCACTCAGTAAAATTGGTAGGTCCAATGCCATGCTCCAGTGAAGTGACTTGAAAGCTACGCCTTGATCCACCCACATCATATCAGTGACCAATCGGCACTCAGTAGTATTGGTGGATCCAACAGCATGCTCCTATGAGGTGACTTGAAAGCTACACCTTGCTCCACCCCCATCATATCAGTGACCAATCGGCACTCAGTAGTATTGGTGGGTTCAACAGCATGCTCCTATGAGGTGACTTGAAAGCTACACCTCGCTCCACCCCCATCATATCAGTGACCAATCGGCACTCAGTAGTATTGGTGGGTCTAACAGCATGCTCCGATGAGGTGACTTGAAAGCTACACCTTGATCCACCCCCATCATATCAGTGACCAATCGGCACTCAGTAGTATTGGTGGGTCCAATAGCATGCTCCCATGAGGTGACTTAAAAGCTACACCTTGCTCCACCCCAGTTAGAATAGTGACTGATCTGCAGTTAGGGGCATCATGAGGTCAGACAGCATGCTCCTGTCAGAAAACTTCAAACGATAGCTGACCCTACCTCTCATCAGATCAGTGACCAATCAGCAGGCAGGAGCAATCCCATGCTCCTATCAGGTGACTTCAAACTATGGCTAATCTCCCCCCCGTGTCAAGTTCGCTGACAAATCAACATCCAGTATCCTTGTCACATGCTGCACTCAGAAAGTGCCAAGCAGTGCTGGTCACCACCAATAGGCTACAGTTTCTCAGATTAACCAGAACGGCTCAATGTAATTCTACACCACAAAGCTATGTGACTTGTTCCAACAGTTACCCAAACTATTCTTCACGTACATTATTGCTTGCAGTTTTTATCCCAGGCAACTTTAGCTCAATTGCAGTAGAATTTTTCTAACATTTCTGAAAATGTTAGTTTTCCTCAAAAATACTCAGTCCAGAGTGCCTCAGAAGTAGATTTGATTTCTTAAATCACAAATTAATGAATGTATATATTGAACATAGGAAAAAAGTCAGGAAGTCATCTTAACAAACTTGAATACTCGGTTCATGTTATTCCTGTTCAATAGTGCCATGCCGTATTCCTTTCATTCAGCACATTTTGTTTTAGGAAGAGGTGTTTTCATCTACCTGTTCCCTGTGGAGATGAGATTGGGTATTGTCAACATTTTCATGGAAAGCCATGTATGTATCTACCTATTCACTGTGGAGAAAAGATTGGATATTGTCAACATTTTCATGAAAAGCCACACATGTAAAAAGTAGCATATTTTTGCATTTTGCATTTTCACAAGACACAAGTTTTACTGCCCCTTGTACACGGACGAAACGCATTGACTATAAAAGCCGAAAAGTAGGTCAAGTGAGATATTTGTTTTCACATAGACCCACACATCTTTGTTACAGTGTAACAGTGGCTCACGCTTGAGCATGTAAGCCCTTTCCCTGTGGAAAAATACATTTCACAGAAGGGCCACAATGTAGGAAAACATGGATTTTCGATTTCATGAACATATGCGTATCTTAACTTATTGATCTTGGCAGTAACCACTGTGTTCATTTTAATCACTTGGTTCAGGCAAAAGTTTACCTCTTAAAGAATCATGTTAGGGTTTTTTACTGCATTAACCTGTTCTATATTGGTATTTTTGCAGTTTTGAAATAGAAGCTTCTTGGACAATTTACTTTCTTCAAAATCTGCATGTGTTGCTCTTCATGAAAACATTGACGATTTATCATTTGGTTAAAATAGCATTGTTGGAGGGCAGGATATGCGAATGATGACCTAACCTGAGCATGTTAGGTTTGATGGTATATTTCTGTGATGTAGTCAGTGACCAGTCGTGCCTGTGTCCAGGATTGAGCCACTGTATCATAATACATATACCCTTTTTTTT